TTTCTTTCTTGTATGTGTGCATCAAATATTTTTGTTTTCTTCACTTATAAAATATAAGATGTAAACAGGGCTAGTGTGTTTTTGGTTGTATGTGTGTTAGTTGTATCACATTAGGCCGAAGTATGACTTTATAGTTATCTTTATTTATAGACTGTATATGGTTTAGGAAGATGTGTACAGGTGCCAAGTTGACAAGGGGTGGACTGTGATGGTTAAGGTTGTGTATCAACCTGGCAGGGCCATGATTCTCAGTGGCTTGGGAGTTATGATCTAACCTGGCAGCTATGTAATGAAGTAGTCACCTCCATGATGAGATCTGATATACTGTAATCAACTCCATGATGAGATCTGCTATGAGCATTAAATCAGTTTTAAGGGAGTTTTGTTTGGGGTGTGGCCTACATACAATATATGAGCATTTTCTGGCAAAGCTTGCTGGCTTTTGCTTTCTCTGGGTCCTGCAGCTGTATCCTCACCTGACATCCAGTTTTTGGGACTTGAGCTAACAGCTTACCTGCTGATCTTGGGTTTTGTCAGCCTCAGCAGCCTGTGAACCAGAGGCCTGCCATCTTACCTGCCAATCTTGTGATTCATCAGCCTCTGCAGCCTGTGAGACAGAGGCCCGCTATCTGACCTGCTGATCTTGTATTCACCAGCCCCTGCAGCTAAGTGAGTCTGGAGAAGCCACAGACTTGGGACTTTCCAGCTTCTACAACTGCATGAGCCTTTTCCTTGATATAAATCTCACTCTCTCTATATATATGCTTCACTGATTTTGCTTCTCTAGAGGACCAGCTTAAGACAGGCGATATAGGTGGTGGTGGCAGTGTACATGGTGGCAGCGGTATGGGAGGTGGCGGTGATATACATGGTTGTGGTGGTGGTATGGGTGGTGGTGGAAGTAGGGATTGGCACAGAGATCTAGGTGGTGGCCACAGTATGGGTTGTGGTGGTGGAATGGGTTGTGGTGGTGGTATGGGTTTTGGTGGCATTATGGGTGGCATGTTGGTATGTGTGGTGGTATGTGTACGGCTGCTGGAGGCAGAATGGGTGGTGGCGGCAGAATGGGTGGTGGCGGCAGTATATGTGTTAGTGGCATTATGGGTGGTAGCAGTGGTAAAGGTGGTGGTGGCGGCATATGTGTTAATGGTGGTGTGCAGGTGGAGGCAGTATATGTGGTGGCGGCAGTATAGGTGGTGGAGGCAGTATGAGTGGTGTCGGTGGTATGTGTGGTGACAGCAGTATGGATCAGGCCAGCAGTATACATGGGGGGGGTTGGATGGTACCAGTGGTATAGGTGGTGGTGGTGGTATATGTGGCAGTGGCAGTATAGGTAGTGAAGGCAGTATACGTGGTGGTGGCGGTAGCATGGAGGTGGTGATACAGGTGGTGGTGGCCACACAGGTGGTGGCAGCAGCATGGGCAGTGGCGGTGGTGTGGGTGGTGGTACGGGTGGTGGCAGTAACATGAGTTCTGGTGGAGTTATGGGTGGTGGAGACAGTATGGGCGATGGCGGCAATATACGTGGTGGAGGAGATATGGGTGGTCGTTGGCTGTGAGTGGTGGTGGGGGTGGTATACTTGGTGGCAGCGGTACATGTGGTGTCAACAGTATATGTGGTGATGGCAGTATGGGTGGTAGTGGCAATATGGGTAATGGCAGTGGTATGGGTGGTGGTGGTACGGGTAGTGGTGGCAGTATGGCTGATGGCAGTACATGTGGTGGAAGCTGTATAGGAGGTGGTGGCAGTATACGTGGAGGCAGCAATATATTTGGTTGCGGCAGGATACATGGTGGAAGGTGTATGGAAGGTGGCAATGGTATATAAGGTAGTGGCAATATGGGTGGTGGCAGAGGTATAGGTAGTGGAGGCAATATGGGTAGTGGCGGTTGTGTGGGTGGTGTTGGTGGTATGAGTGGTGATGGTGGCATACATGGTGGTGACTGTATAAGAGGTGGTGGCAGTATATGTGGTGGTGAAGGCATATGTGATTGTGGTGGTAAATGTGGTGGTGGCAGTATGGGTGGAGGCTGTGGTATGGTTGGTGGTGGATAGTATGGGTTTTGGTAGTGGTATGGGTCATGGTGGCAGTATAGGTGGTAGGTGCATCATGGGTGGTGACAGTAATATAGAATACGATGCAGTAGCTCTACCAGTGGGTGGTGAGGTGGATGTTGTTGGCAGTATGTGTGGTGGTGGCTGCACAGGTGGCGGTATATGTGGTGTCAGTGGAATAGGTGGTGGCAGCAGTATATGAGGTAGCCACAGTATAAGTAGTGGCAGCGATATTGGTGGTGGCAGTTGTATGGGTGGTGGTGGGGATATGGATGATGGCAGCAGTATGGGTGGTGGCAGTGGTATGGGTAGTGGTAGTGATATGGGTGGTCACAGCTGTATGGTGGTTTTGGCAGTGTGGGTGGTGGCAGCTGTACGAGTGGTGGCAATGTTATATGTAGTGGCAGCTGTATAGGTAGTGGTGGCAGTATATGTGGTGGTGGCAGTATATGTGGTGATGGCTGTATGGGTGGTGGTGGTTGTATGGGTAGTGGCGGCAGTATGGATGGTGGGGACGGTATGGTTGATGGGGGCAGTATAGTTGGTGGGGGCAGTATATGTGATGGCGGAATTATATGCGGTGGTGGCAGTGTATGTGGTGGCAGCAGTTTTGGTGGTAATGGTGGTATGGGTGGTGATGGCAGTATGGGTGGTGGAGACAGTACAGGTGCTGTTGGCAATATAAGTGTTGCAGTGGAATAGGTGGTGGCAGAGGTATAAGTGTTGGAGGTATATTTGTGGTGGTAGTAGTATGGGTGGTGGTGGTGGTATGAGTGTTCGTGGTGATATATGTGGTGGTGGTTGTACATGAGGTGGTGGCAGTATATGTGGTGGTGAAGGTACCCGTGGTGGCAGTAGTAAATATGGTGGTGGTTGTATGAGTGGTGGTAAAGATATGGGTGGAGGTTGCAGTATGGTGGGTGGCAGTAGTATGGGTTTTGGCATTGGTATGGGTGGCGGCAGTGGTATAGGTAGTAGCTGCATCATGGGTAATGTCAGCAGTGTGGGTGGTGCAGCAGAATATGATGTGGTGGCTACATCGGTGGTGGTGGCACTATGGGTGTTCATGGTGGTATACATGGTGGTGGCTGTATAGGTTGTAGTAGTGGTATAGGTGGTGGCAGCTGTATATGTGGTGAAGACAGGATACATGGTGGTGGCAGTATATGAGGTCATAGCAGTCTGAGTGTTGCTGGTGGTATGGGTGTAGGTGGCAATATGGGTGGTGGCGGTGGTATATGCGTTGGCGGCCATACACGTATTGGTGGTGGTATGGGTGGTGCCAGTGGAATGAGTGGAGGCAGAGGTGTGGGCAGTAGAGTGGGCAGTGGTGGTGGTACAGGTGGTGGAGACGGTATGGGTGGTGGCTGCAGTATGCGTGGTGGCAGTGGTATGCATGGTTTTGACAGTATGGGAGTGGCAGTATGGGTGGTGGCGGCAGTATGGGTAGTTTCGGAGGTATGGATTTTGTCGGTGATATGGGTGGTGGTGGCAGTATGGGTGGTGGCGGTGGTGTGGGTGGTGGTGGTGGTGTGGGCTGTGAAGGCTGTGTGGGCGGTGGTGGCAGTGTGGACGGTTGCAGCAGTGAGGGCAGTGGCAGCGGTATGAGTGGTAGCTGTGATATTAGTGGTGGCGGCGGTATGGGTGGTGGCGGTGGTATGCAGTGGAATAGGTAATTTCGACAGTATACATGGTGGCAGCAGTATATGTGGCTGTAAGGTAGGTGTTGGTGGTATGCATGGTGACAATGGTATGGGTGGTGGTGGAGGTATGGGTGAAAGTGGCAGCGTGGTTGGTGATGACACTGTGGGTCTTGGCAGCTGTATGAGTGGTGGTGGCAGAGTGGTTGGCGGCAGGGATATGAATGGCGGTGGCAGTTAGGGTGGTGACATCGGTATGAGTGGTGGTGGTGGCATAGGTGGTGGTGGTGGTATACGTGGTAATGGTGGTATAAGTGGTGGTAGTGGTGTAGGTGGTGTCGGTGGTATGGGTGGTGGTGGTATGGGTGGTGGCAGTGGTATGGGCAGTATGGGCCATACCAGCAGGTGGTGGTGGTGGTGGTGGTGGCAGTGGTGTCAGTAGCAGTGGCAATGTTGGTCCTGGCAGTGTATGGGTGGTAATTCTGGTCTTGGTGGTGGCGGCAATATTAGTGGTGGTAGGGGTTGTGGTGGCAGTATGGGTGGTATCAGAAATATGGGTGGTGCAGCAGAATAGGTGGTTTCGGGGGTATATGTGTTGGAGTGATATACCTGGTGGTGGAGTGGTATGGATGGTGGTGGCAGTATGGGTGGCGGAGGTTGTATGGGTGGTCGTGGTGGTATACATAGTGGTGAAGTTGTGGTGGCAATAAGTGTTGGTGGTGGTACATGGTGTTGGCAGTATATGTGGTGACAGTGGTATGGCTAGTGGTGGTGGTATGGGTGAGGTGGTGGAATGGGTGGTGGTGGTATAAATTGTGGCAACAGCACACATGGTGGATTCAGTATGGGTGGTAGTATATGTGGTGGTGACAGTGTGGGTGGTGGTGGTGGTATGAGTGGTGGTGGTAATACAGATGGTGGTGGCTGCATGGGTTGAGGCAGTGGTATGGGTGGTGGCAGTGGTATGGGTAGTGAAGCAGTATAGGTGGTGGGGGCAGTATATGTGGTAGTGGTTGTATAGGTGGTTGGTGGACACATTTGTGGTGCTGGCAGTATATGTGGTTGTGGTGGTATACGTGGTGGCGGCTGTATGGTAGGTGTCAGTGGTATGTATGGTGATGGTAGTATGCATGATGACTGTAGTATGGGTGGTGGTGGAAGTATAGGTGGAGGTGGTGGTATGATTGGTGACAGCAGTACTGGTCTTGGCAGCTGTATGTGTGGTGGCAGCTGTATGTATGGTGGTGGTATTATGGGCAGTGGCAGCGGTAAGAGTGGTGGTGGCGGTATGTGTGGTAGCGGCGCTATGAGTGGTTTTGGCAGTATAGGTAGTGGTGGCGGTGTCTGTGGTAATGGAAGTATAAGTGGTGGTGGCAGTATGGGCGGTGGCAGCAGTATAGGTGGTGGCAGTGGTGTGGGCAGTGAAGGCAATGTGGGCTGTGGCAGCGGTGTAAAGGATAACAGCGGATGTTGGTGGAGACAGTGGTGTGGGCAGCAGTGGTGGTATGGGTGGTAATTGCCATATTGGTGGTGGCAGTGGTATGGGTCCTGGTGGCAGTTTGGTGGTGGCGGTGGTATAAAGTGGTGGTGTCAGTATGACTGGTGGTGGCTGTATAGGCGGTGATGGTGGTATACATGGTAATGGCAATATACATGGTTGCAGTAGTATAGGTAGTGTTGGCAGTATGGGTAGTGGCAGCAGTAGGGGTGGAGGTGGTATTGATGATGGCACTATGGGTGGTGAAGGCAGTGTGGGTGGTGGCAGTGGTGTGTGAGGTGGTGGCGGTATGGTGGTAGCTGCAGTATTGGTGGTGGTGGCGATATTTGTGGTGGTGGTGGTAGGGGTTGTGGCAGCGGTATGGGTAGTAGTGGCAATATGGATAGTGGCAGCGGTATGGATGGTGGAGGCAGTATGGGCAGTGGCATTGGTATTCTTGGTGGTGACAATATGGGTGGTGGTGGGTATGTGTGGTGGTGGCTTTATATATGGTGGCAGCGGTATATGTGGTGATGGCAGTATGCGTTGTGGCAGTAATATGGGTTGTGGCAGCAGTGTGGGTGGTTGTGGCACTGTGGGTGGTGGCAGCATAATGAGTTCTGGTGGTGGTATGGGTGGTGCAGGCAGCATGTGTGGTGGTGGTGGTATGGTTGTTGGTGGTGAAATTGGTTCTGGTGGTGGTGTGGGCAGCGACAGCGGTGTTTGTGGAGGTTCTAGTATAGGGGGTTGTGGCAGTATACATGGTGGAGGTGGTACGTCGTTGTGGAGGTATGGGCGGTGGCAGTGATATGGGTGATTATGGTGATATGGGTGGTGGAGGTGGCATGGATGGTGGTAGTGGTATGGAAGGTAGTGGCAATATGAGTGTTGGAACAGGAATAGGTGGTGGCAGCATTAGAGGTGGTGGTGGCAGTATAGGTGGTAATGATGATACACATGGTGACAGCGGTATATGAGGTTGTGGCAGTATGATTGGTGGTGGTGGTATGGGCGGTGGCAGCGGTATGGGCGGTGCGATGGTATGGGTAGTGATGGCGGTATGGGTGGTGGCAGTGGTATGGGTGGGGGCGCCAGTTTAGGTAGTGGCAGCAGTATGTGAGGTGGCGGCAGTGTAGGTGGTTGCAGTGGCAGTATACATGGTGGTGGCAGTATACACGCTGGCGGCAGTATGGGTTGTGATGGCAGTTTGAGTGGTGACAGCAATATGGCTGATGGTGGTATACAGGATTGTGGTGGTATAGGTGATGGCGGCAGTATAGTTTGTGGCAGTAGTATACTTGGTGGCGGCAATATATGTGGTGGCAGTGGTATATGTGATGGCTGCAGAATGGGTGGTGGAGGCAGCAAGGGTGGCAGTGGCGGTGTGGGTGGTAGCAGTATACAAGGTCGTGGCCATATACATGGAGAAGGTGGCATGGGTGGTGGCAGCAGTATTGGTGGTGGTGGCAGTGTGGGTGGTAGCGGGCCACCTCTACTGCCATCATCACCTCTACTGCCTCTGCCACTTCTACTGACATTCCACCTGTACTGTCACTGCCCTTCTACTGCCACTTCCATCTCTACCACCAAAACTACCTCTACTGCCTCCACATCCTCTGTTGCCAGTGCCACCTCTACTGCCAATGTCACTTCTACTGAAACCAACCTCTAATGCTGATGACAACTCTGCTGCCACTGCCAGCTGTACTGCTACCTCCAGCTCTACTGCCAATGCCACCTATATTGCCACCTCCACTTCTACTGCCACCTCCACCTCTTCTGCCACCACCTATACTGCCATCATCAACTCTACTGGAACTGCCACCTCTACTACTGCCTTCACCTCTACTGCCACCACCAGCTGTACTGCCACCTCCACCTCTAATGTCACCCCACCTCTACTGCCACCACCACCTTTACTGCCAACCCAGCTCTCCTGCCACTGACAGCTCTACTGCCACCATCACATCCACTGGCTCCACTACCTCTACTGCCACCACCATCTCTACTGCCACTAACTCTACTTCCACTGCCACCTCAACTGCTACTACCACCTCTACTGCCACCTCCAATGCTATTGCCACCACCAACTCTACTGCAAGAGCCACCTCTACTGCCAAGAGCACCTTTTCTGATACCGCCATCTCTACTGCCACTGTGACCTCTACTGCCACCGCCACAATAATGTGAGTGCCACCTATTCTGCCACTGTCACTTATACAGCCACCACAACCTCTACTGCCACCGCCAACTCTACTGCCATTACATCTACTGCCATCATCACATCTATTGCCACCACTCTCTTGCTGCCACCACCACCTCTACTGCCACCACCGGTCCTACTGCCACTACTGCCTCTACCTACTGCCACTACTGCCTCTGCTGCCACCACCACCTGTACTGACAATGCTGCCTTTCCTGACAGCACTGCCTCTCCTCCCACCACCAACTCTACAGCCATCATCACCCCTATGGCAACCAGCGCCTCTAATGCCACCAACAACTGTACCGCCACTATGCCTCTACTATCACCACCACTTCTACAGCTACCCCCGCCTCTTCTGCTACCACTGCCTTTACTGCCACAACCAATAATACTGCCACCACTGCCTCTACTGTCACCACCAGCTCTGTAGCTAGCACTGAGTCTAGAGCCAGCATTGCCTCTATTGCCACCACTCCCTCTACTGCCATCACCACATCTACCCCCAACACCGCCTCTATTGCCACCAATACCTTTTCTGCCACCACCACTTCTACTGCCACCATCAACTATACTGTCACAAGCACTTCTACTGCCACCACCACTACTACGGCTACCACTGCTTCTACTGCCATCATTGCCTCTACTGTTACTACTGCCTCTACTGCTATCACCACTTCTACTGCCAACAGCACCTCTAAACCACACCACCTCTGCGTCCACATCCGCCTCTACAGACAACACCGCCACTAATCGAGCACTGCCTCTACTGCCAATACCCAGTATACTGCAATCACAGCCTCTACTGCCACCGCAGCCTTTATTGCCACCAACTCCTCTTCTGGTACCACAGTCTGTTCTGCCACCAGTGCCTCTAATGCCACTACCAACTCTACTTCCACCACCACCTCTACTGCCACCACCAACTCTACTGCCACCTCTGCCTTTACTGCCACCACCACTTCTACTGCCACACCACCTCTACAGCCAAAAGCACCTCTATAGGCATCACTGCTTCTAGGGCCACTTCTACCTCCACTGCCAACAATGCCACTACAGCCAACACTGCCTCTACTGCCATCACCCACTATACCACATCCACCACCTCTACCTCCTCTACCTCTACTGCCACCACTGCCACTACTGCCAATATTGAGTCTATTGCCTTCTACACCTCTGCTGCCACCGCTGCCTCTATTGCCACAACCGCTTCTACTGCCACCACTGCCTCAACTGCCACCACTGCCTCTAGTGATACCACTGTCTCTACTGCCACCACGGCCTTCACTGACACCATCAACTATACTGCCAACACCAACTCTACTGCTACCACTGTGTCTTACTGCCACAACCACTTCTACTGCCACCACTGCCTCAACTGCCACCACTGCCTCTACTGACACCACTGCCTCTACTGACACCAAGGCCTCTACTGCCACCACCAGCTGTACTGCCATCACCATCTCTACTGTCACCACCACCTCTACTGCTACCAATGCCTTTACTGCCACCACCACCTCTTCTACCACCACTGCTTCTATGAAACCATGGATTCTACAGCCACGATTGCCTTGGCGGCCACCACTGCCTCTACTGCCACCACCAACTATACTACCAATGCTGCCACTATCACATATACTACCACCACCTCCTCTAATGCTACCACCAGCCATACTACCACCACCACCCATGCTATCAACACCACCTATACTACCTCCACCACCCGTATGCCATCATCACCTGTACTGTCACCATCACCTGTACTGTCACCATTACCTATACTCCACCACAACTTGTACTACTACCACCACCTGTGCTACCATCACCACATGTACTGCCACCAGCACCACCTATACAGCCATATGAACTGCCCACACTGCCACCAAAACTACCTATACTGCCACCGTCACCTATAATGCCATCACCACCTGTACTGCCACCAGCACCTGTGTTACAGGCCACTGTACTACCAACACCACCTGTACTGCCACCACTACTTATACTGCCACTCTCATCTATACTGCCACCACCATGTATACTACAATCATCACCTATAGTGCCACCACCCTCTATAATGTCAAGCACCTATTCTGCCACCACCACTGTTTTAGTTATTTCGTGCTATAACAGAAAATATTACAAGTGGATGGCTTTAACGAAGAGAAATTTATTATCTCACAGTTTAGGAGGCTAGAAATCTGAATTCAGGGTGCCAGCTCCAGGGGAAGGCTTTTTCTCTCTGTCAGTTCTGGGGGAATGTGCTTGTCATCAATCTTCCCCTCATCTAGGAGCGCATTAGCACAGGGACCTGGGTCCCAAGGACACACTCCTTTCTTTTTGCTTGATGATGATGAGGTCCCTCTCCTCTCTACTTGCTTCTCTCTTTTATGTCTCAAAAGAGACTGACTCAAGATACAACCTAATCCTGTAGATTGAATCCTGCCTCATTAGCATAACTGCCTCTAATCTTGCCTCATTAACATCATAGAGGTTAGGATTTACAACACACAGGATAATCACATCAGATCACAAAATGGTAGACAACCACGCAATATTGGGAATCATGGCCTAGCCAAGTTTATACATATTTTGGAGGGACACAATTTAATCCATAACAACCACCTACTCTACCACCATCAACTTTATTGCTGCCACCATCTATACTGCCACCAATGCCTACTCTTCCACCCCAACCTATACTGCCACCATCACCAATACTACCATCACAACCTCTGCTACCACTACTTGTACTACCACTATCACTTGTAGTACCAACACCACCATACTACCACCACCACCTATACTTCCACCACCACCTGTACTACCATCACCATCATACTGTACTGCCACCACCACCTATACTACCACCATCATATATAATGCAACCACCACCTGTACTACAACCATCACCTGTGTTATAACCACCTGTACTACCGCCACCACCAGTATTACCACCACCACCTATACTGTCACCAGTACCACCTGTACTGCCACCAGCACCATCTATACTACCACCACAACCTATACTGTCACTGTCACCTGTACTTCCACCACCACCTCTACTACCATTACCACCTGTGCTACCACCACCTCTACTGCCACAATCACCTGCACTACTACCACTACTACCACCACCCATACTACCATTGTCACATATGCTACTACCACCACCAACTCTCCTACCACCACCAACTCACCTACCACCACCAACTCTCCTACCACCACCACATATACTGCCACTACTGCCTGTACTACCACCACCAACTATACTGCTACCACCACCTGTACTGCCACCATCACCTATACTACCACCATCATGTATAATGCAACCACCACCTGTACTGCAACCGTCACCTGTGCTACAACCACCTGTACTACCACCACCACCTATACTGCCACCACAACCTATACTGCCACTGTCACCTGTACTACCACCACCACATCTACTACCATTACCACCTGTGATACCACCACCTCTACTGCCACAACCACCTGCAGTACCACCACTACTTATATTGCCACCACCTCCTATGCTGCCATCACCACCTACATTACCATCA